TTTTCAGCTTGTTTAACTTTTCAATTCCATTTGGTAGTTTTTCAAATTCACTACCTTTCAAGTCAAGAATTTCAAGTCTTGTAAGGCTTACCACAAAAGAGATATCACCTAAATCCCATGTTGCAACCTAGGGTTCGAAGATTAGACAATTGTTGGATTGATTGAGGCTTTTTCATCAGAGAAGGATAGCTATATCTATGAATCACAGCAAAAACCTTGAGTTCTTTTGTACCTTCAAATGATGCAAGTGATAAATCAAAGGTTGTTGATGAATCAAACAAAAATCTCAAGCTTTGGAGCATCCAATCGAGAAGGAAATTGAAGTAATCCATCAAGTCATACCATGAAGCTATAGCATAGAAATCTTTTATTGCTTCATTATCAAGAAATTCATTCAGCTCTTTTGTATAGTTTACCTTAATCGTATGATCCTGTTTAGATGCTATCCACAAAGCTACATCGCGAACCATGTCATGCATTGTCACATATTCTTGCTCATGTTTGTTGATCTCTGGAGAATGCATAATCAATAGTGAGGAGTCAATGAGACTATTTATGGCTGCTTTAACATGTCTTCTTGCTATTTCAAATGAGTTTAGATCTCTACATAGGCCTAACCCCACTCCATATCTAAAAAGATCTTCAATGTCAATTTTATGATCTTCTGGAAACATAGCACACATTATCAATAGCAGCTTGGCTTCTGGCATTGCCAAATAATCATAACTTAATTCAAGACAAGCAAAAACATCTCTCACACCTTTGTCCACATTGTTTGGTTTCGCATTCCTTAACCTGTCCAGCATTACTTTCATCTCATCAACACCTTTTCTTTTCAAGCAAGTTCCCATAGCTATAATTGCAATGGGTAGCCCCTTACATTCCTTAGCAATTGCTTGTGCCACAACTTCTTGAGCTGCATCATCCACATTAGCATGAGCTTGAAACAAAGCCCAAGCTTCATTTTCTTGTAACAACTGAAGTTGAATCTCCTTTTGGCAACCCATCAAAATACATACTTCTAGGCGCCGTGTGGTTAGGACAATTTTGCAACTTTTTTGATGATTTCCCTCAATAGGAATCCCTATGTCCTCAAGGTTCAGCTTAGCCCATACATCATCTAATATTATCAAAGTTCTTTCTCCACTTTGTAATCTTAGTGCTATTCTTTTTGCCCTTCCAGTGTTAGATTCTTCCTCCAATTTAAGTCCCAACATGTCGGCAATTTCACCTTGAGCTCTTCTCATATCCAAGCTTTGAGAAATCGTAGTTTTCACAACTCGATCAAATAGCTTTGACTCTTTGGCTTTCTTTCCTACTTCTGTTGCCAAGGTAGTTTTCCCTGAACCACCCATACCCCATAGCCCAATTATGAAGTTGCCATCTTGTTGCAACGCCTTCCACAATTGATCAAAAGCCATTTTTGTAGAGTTGAAGAACTCAAAATTTTGAGAAGAGTGGTACTCTATATCTAGAGCAATAATAGGATGAGAAAATGGATTAAAATGATCACTCTTTGCATTTAGGTCTATCATTCTTTGAGTTGTCTTGGCCAACTTTTTGCAAAGACAATATCTCTTCCAAGTAGGACACCACTGTCGAAGGCAGCCATTGTTGGCCTTTAGCTCTTCCTCCAAATTCTCCATCTCTGCTATCAGGCTTTTCACATCATTCATCCACTTTTTAACCACATCATCAATTCTGTCAGTCCTGTTAATGGCCTCTTGAACACGTTCTTTCACTCTCCCTTGCTTGAGTATGAGCTCCTCCTTATCGATCTCAACATTTGTGGTGATTTTTCTGACACAGAACAAATATTGCAACTGTCGTAAAGTTGGATCTACCAAATATTCAGCAAGTTTTGCTGCCACCGACACTCCCACCTCTGCCATTTTGAATTAATAGCAACCTTCAAAGAGCCATTCATAATCATCAAATGATTATTTCAAAATTGGAATAAGAAAGATCAATAGTTTTTCTATAGCTTTTGCTGTCAATCTGCTTTTTTCGATCCCAGCTATGTTTAGATATTAGAGTAACTTCATTACTGTTTTCCCCCCCTAACAGATCGACCCAAAGGTGAAGTGAAGAAGGAAAAAAAAAAATAGTCTAAGAGAATTGACAGTGATCAGAGATAGATGCTTATGTAAGGGACAACACATAGAACAATGGTAATAATAGAACAAAGAAAGAGAAATCTGATGGTCCGTTTGGTTTAAAGAATTAGGGGGAATGTAATGCTAAGAAATGGAATATAATATAATAAAAATTACATGTGTTTGCTTGGTATGTTATATGAAGAGGGTTATTTTGATATAAAATGTAGTTGTAATAGAAATTACATAGGTTTATTGATGTAATCCTCTTTATAATGTATGATGTAATCCCCTTTACATGATGTAATCCTTTTTACCTTTTATGAGGATTGTAGGTAATCCTCTTACACTGCATCGAACCAAATACGCTATGAAAGAATAAAGTCAGAGAAAAATGAGACACTGATTCAGGAGAGGTTATCTTGCTTCATACCTGTGATGAACTTCCACCTGCAGATATTGAAGAGTAAGAAGAACAGAATAGCACTGTGATGACCAGATTTTGCGTGTGAACGAGTCGTCAACTCAGTTGGAACTCGGAAGCTGGAAGTGAGAGTATGTAGATAAGATGATCAGTCGGTGCTGTCCATTTCCATTATTTCTATGGACCCGAAAACACGCTGTCTATATTCCATAATTCAAAACGCAATCTTATCATTTTTACTTTTCAAAAGCCACAGGTATTTTGAAATTGAAATTTCAGAATTTTTGGTTTACATTAACTTTGTGCAGCATATTATAAAAGATATGTTGTGATTTGATTTATCCTAATTCATAAATCAAATACTAACATGTTAATTAATATAGTAAAATAAATTTAATCTCTTTTTGTTTTTGCTAAAGACCTTTTCTTTATTTTCAAAATTTTTATTTTAGTCTAATTTTCAATACCATTAAAAATATTTCATTAATGATTCTAAAATGCTAGAATATACTACTATTATATTAAAATTTACAATTCCTTTTCTTTTTTTGCTAAAATACGGGGAAAATGCTCAAGCTTTTATTTCATGTAGACCAACCTCGGCTTAAACACACCCATTTGATCTTTGTACAATAAATCCTGAGCTTAAACACACCCATTTGATCTTTGTACAATAAATCTTGTAATTCTATCGGAGGATTCCATAAAAAAGACAAACCCCCCTCTTTCCTCAAGCTTAAACCAGCATAAAATTTACAATTCTATTGCATCGCCAAATGCATTGTTTGGAAATTTATTATTGTCATTTGCATCAAAATATTTACTTTAAGTTTGTGTTTTATTAAAAAAAAATCTCAATCTTATACATAATTAGTCTTGGCAGGTGTCAACATTTCCTGTGGATTTTTTTTTTTCCCAAATAACAATTTCCCGTGGATTTGCCCACACAATAGTTATTGCAGCCATTGCTATATATAATATCACCACTGCCATTCAATGTGACTTATATTTACAATTGCAGATAAAACATTAATACTTAAAATTATAATAATTCAAATGATCATGATGTTTCCTTATCCATTACTTCTTCCATAATACAAAATAGGTATCTTCTGAAATATTTACTTGGTAGAAAGTATAGAGCATTTCATAATTTTGTAATCATTTTTCTAACTATACTATCACTTCATATTTTTTTTTAAAAAAAACTTATGCATCAAGATTTCTATTATTATTATTATTATTACTATTATTATTATTATTATTATTATTATTAGGAATGGGAAGCGACCACCAAAAATGGGCGGAGAGGAGAGACGGACAAGTGCAATGGAAAGACACCACATCTTAATTCAAAACCTCAAGACTTAAGTTTATGAGTCCTTTTTTTTATTATATATTATTTATTAAACTCAACTTTATTCGATTATGTCCACTCATATTTAGATAACCTAACAATATATAGGATATTTAATAAGCTAAGGTTATAATTAGACAGATAAAAATTTTAAAAGATTAAGGTTTTACCTAACTTTTATAAGAACCTTGAAATAATCATCAATATTCTATAGTACGATTTGGGGGGAGTATTTTTATCCGAACTCTTTTCTTGTTATTGAATTTTGCAAATCATGTACTCCTTTCATTCCTTACTGTTAATCACTTATAATCATCTCACCGCAACTAAAATATTAAAGTAATCAAATAAAACAACTATTTTTTGCTATATCAAATAGTAAACATTTGAGAGACAAAAATATTTAAAATAATTAATTTATATAAAATTATGGATTTTTAAATAGAAATTATTGAATTCAAATACCAAATAGTATAATGAAAAATAATAATAATTAATATATAATGGTTTGGATCTAAAATGAAGCAATGTTCCTGATAATTATAGTGTTAAAAAGCACGAACAATAAGTTTCAATTTAATCTTCCTAAAATATAATATAAATATACATTCAATTAATATAAATATAACATTTAAATATTAACATAAGGCTCTACTTAACATTAAGATTTGATATGCATATGTTAGTATGAGTACTTTGTAAGTAGTTGACATTTTATATAAAAAAATATTTATTTTATGGAGATTTTATACAAAGCAGATATTATTTTATATTTACTTATAATAAAAAGTGATTATTAGTTAGTTATTTTGAAATTTTATGATATATTTGTTAATTTTTGTTTTATAAAAATAATTTATCATTATATTGTTTTAAAATTTTATAATATCTTTGTATATCTTGGCTCTTTAAAACAACCTCTTTCATCTATAGCATTAGGGGCCCATTTATTTTAATTTATTTCATAGATAAAAATCACTTAGTTTTTGGAAAAAATTTATTTTTTGAATTTTTATGATGTTTGTTTAAACTTTTAAAATAATCAAAATCCAAAAAAAAAGAAGATTTTTTGTTATTTTAAGAAGTTATTCAATAATCTAATGCCGTAGATGAAAGATTATGTGTTTTAAAGAGGTGAAATATGAAGAGATAACATAAAATTTTAAAATAATAATAAATCATTTTCATAGAACAAAAATTGAGGAAGGTATCATAAAATTTAAAAATAACTAATTAATAATTACTTTTTTATTATTGTAACCAAACGCAAAATAATGTATGATTTTCATAAAATCTCAACAAAATAAATCTCTTTTTATAAAATCTCTAAATTACTTAAAAATAATCAAAAATATGTTTTTTGATCCTAATTATTTTTTAAAAATTTAAAAAAAATATAATAAAACTAACAAAATAATTTTAAGAAAATAAATATTTTTTATGAAATAAGCTAATATTTAAATCATAAATCTGTTTTTTATTCTAATTATTTTTTAAAAATTTAAAAAACCATAATAAAAATCAAAAAAATAATTTTGTTAAAAATAAATATTTTTTATGAAATCAGCTAGTATTTGAATCGGACCCGATGACATGATGTTGTTAGAGGCCAAGATTTAATGTTTCAGATACCTATTGTTATTTTTACATTTAATTTAAGTAAGAGTCAAAGCAATTCCATAAATTTTCAACTTTAACTTTACCCAAAAAAAAAAGTCCAACTTTAATGGACTCCAAAATATGAAATCAAAATTTAAAAAGTGAAAGAAATCATCATGCGTTCCATTTAATTGTTGCTGTTTTCACGTTTTGGGACATGTCTCAGTGCTACTCGCTTTCCGACGAGGCGTATGTTGTCCGTTCCCATTCCTTTGAACTAATTCAGATGGGTTGAGTTAATTTAAACAAGGCTCAATTCAGGTTGGCTTATCCGGATTGAGCTTAAAATATTCTACCTTTTTAAAAAGCACATATAGCTAAGTTTGGCCCTAACACATTTGGACTTCAGGTTTATTTAGGCTGGCCCGACTACCCAAAACTTTTTAAGAATATTTTTTTAATTTTTAAATCAATTTTAATTTTTAAATAATTTTGTTAAGCATAAAATATTTTTAAATTTAAAATAAAAAATAATAACTTATCAATTTTATACTTAAGTAGCTCTGTTATTATTTTATTGTATTATATATAATTTATTTATGAATGTTTCCTTTAGTTGTAAATTAATGTTTTAGCTGTTTAAATATTGCTCTTATCATGATTATATATAAATATTTTATACATTTTAATTAAATTATATTTTTTAATTATAATCAAGTTAATCTCAATTTAATTACGATTAGACTACTAACTCTAAATTATTGTCCTGATTAGTTCAAAGTTTTTAATGACTTTTGGATAAACTGTACTTTTTATTTATAAAAATATGAAAAAAAAATAGCCATCATTATATAATATCTTATATAAAATAAAATTATTTAATTATGAGTAAAATATTATTTTTTGAATTTTTTTTATTTTTTTATTGTTTAACCCTTACATATAAGAGGTTTTACCTCTATTTTATTCTCAAATTTTAACCAAATTTGGAGTACATGATAACCAAATAATTATTTAAGAATATTTTATTTATTATGTTTATTTAGTAGTAGAGTTGGAAATTCATATACATCCAAATTTTATTTTTAAATTTTATTTTTACTTTAAAATCTAAAATCAATTATATTATTTTATAAAGAATATCAAATATACTTTTTTGGATATGTAATGATGTATTAGATTCAAAACTTTTTTAAAATATAAAAATTAATATTTGGAAAACAAAAAAAGCACAAAGAAGAACAATAATTTAGACATCGGACAAGCACAAATCTCCACATAAAACTACTGTTTATTATTCTCGACTTGTTTAAAACATGAAAGAATAATTAGTTTTTATTAATCTTTCTTTGCCCTGCGATGCAAATAGTTCAGTTCTTTGCACGGACTCCACTCATGAACAATGTTATCAAACTTATAAATTTAAATAAATTCATGACGTTGATGTAAATTTAAATTATAAACTCAAATATTATTTTGAGATATTTTACTTATTACAAATAACAAAAATATGAAAATATAAATATTTTTAATTTTTTTAAAAAATAACTATAGTAATACACTTAATATATAGTATTATAGTAAAAATAGTATGAAACTTAAAGGATTAATTAATATTTATTACATTTTATATATTTTTAAAAAAATATTTTTCATTCCGGTATTTGGGCCAAGCCCGAATTGGGTTTTGGCTTAGCCAGAATTTTCTCGAGCCTATTCAGGCAGCCCAAACGAGCCTGAATATTAAAGAATTAATATTTTTTTGGCTCAGCCCTAAATTTTTCAAACTGCTTTAGATTGTCCTGTTGAGCTTAGCTCAAATTACCAACTCTACTCTAGACCCCAAATTTAAAAATTAAAGTTAAAGGGAATCTGACTTTTTTACTTTTGTAAAGCTACAATTATTTGATATTTCAGAATTTTTATTTTCGCATTAATTTGTCTAAAATATTAATTATCTTTTATTCTCCCTCCAATATGAGACATTTTTTAAAAACATTTGCTTATTAATTAGTAAAAAAATACTATATTGGATTGCTTTTATAATTTTTTCAACTATACACCCACTTTATTTATTATTTTTTTAAAAATGTTTATTGGAGTAGTTATTGATATTTTATATTATGAATTAAAGGGAGTATAATTTTTGAAAATGACATCAAAATGTGGGTAACATTTTCAATTTGATGTAA